TTGAGATTTTTCAGGGTTTCCATATTTTTTCCTCACCCTGTATAATTATCGGATTATACATAGAGATTTTATATAAATTTTATAATGATTTCGAGGATTCTGTCCCACGATTACATTAAGTGGTTACCTCCTCGCACTTGACGTCATTTGTACCAACATGACTTGAATTTAACGTCAAAACGACGAATTTCGCTACCTGGGATATATACATATATATATATATACATATATATTATATACATTATACATTGAATATATTGTATTTTTTTGTATGTGGCATATTACGCCCATGATGGCATATTACCCATTTTTCAGCACTTTCGTATTTCTTTATTTTTAATAACAAAAAATGAATATATATTCAATTCCAATTATAAATCATAGATAAAGGATGGAAGAAAACGATCAGTATGTAAAGTTATTTTAAATTAAACAAATAATTACTCAAAAATCTAACACTAAGTATAAGCATATTCAGGCCTATGACGGTCAAAGCTAGATCTTTTTTGCCTAAATAATTACCAGTGAATTATCTATACTCTATATATGTACATGCATATATATCATATTTTTGTAGTTATTCAAACTGCGCATCAAAATTTTTCCGGACTTTATCTAACGCAATTAAACTTATCTACTGCAATAATATCACAAGTTAAATTGACAATGTGTTAAAAATCTTAAATAAATTTATTGCGGCCCTCGGCCGGGACTTGAACTCGGATCTCTTGTATTCCGTAGGAACGTCCTAAGCCATTAGACCACCGAGGCCTTAGTAATATTCTTCGCAATAATCAGTATATGTAAGGACAATAACGCTTCTTGCAGGCAGCGTGTATAATCAATAATAAGTACATTGTCAATTTAATGTATCATGGCGCAAGGTGGACATTTTCAACAATTCATCTAATTGTTTTATTTCGTCAGAAGAACTGAAGTCTATTTTTGTTTTTCTATTTTTGATTAGTTTTTGATTAGTTCAAGTTGTATTTCTTTCAAATAAACAGATTATTACTACACGTTTAAAGTTTTTTTATTTAGGAAACTAAGCTGTTTAGGATACATGTTTATATGGACTTTTTTACTTGAAATAAACCAAAGAATCGCTCTGTTGAGTTTGGGAACATATTTAACTAACACCCTGTATATATATATATATATATATATATATATGTGTGTGTATATATATATATATATACAGGAGTCAGCGCCGAATATTATATTCGTTGTTGGAGATGGGGTGTGTTTCTGGCTAGCATACATTAATTACACAAATTAATATCCATCTATTAAAAAAAATCTTGTTGCAATTATTAGCTTGAGTTCCACTCAACTAAGCAACTGGTTGGCACAATATTAGACTATGTTGAAGATGGTTGTCTTTCGCCACATTTCCACTGCGACTGCATTATTGGAGGTCGGAACTACGATGGTGTGAGACGCAGTTCGACAGATTTTATAGTGCTACAAGCGATAATTTTTTATTGCTGAGGATGGCTTAAATAGTGAGCCGAAACGTACAAAATTGATTTTGTTATACATTAATAGGTATTAGTTAGCATTGCGCAATATACTATCCAGCGCTGACTCCTAACGCCCATTTGTATTATGCTGTTATTTTTTCATTGTATTAATTTAAGAAGTTTATAAATTTTGTATAGTATTTTGTATATACTTGAATTTGTTTACATATATACAGAGTTTCCCACGATCCGTGATCAAAATTTTAATAACATATTCCTAACTTAAAAATAAGACAAAAATCTTAATATCAAATGCCGAGGCAATAACAGTTTTCAAATTAATTTGTTATACATATTTAAAATAATTCGTTATACATATTTATTATTTTTAATGTATGTCCTGTAATATTTTTATGTACGTTACATATGTAATTATTTTCTATGTTTAAACATGATTGGTGAAGTATTTCAACATTATTGTATATATGATTAGTTAACTTTAACCACTAATGATTTAAAAATTATTATAGCCTCGATATTTTGATATTAAGATTTTTGTCTTATTTTTAATCAGGAATATGTTATTAAAATTTCGGTCATAAATTGTGGGACACCCTGTATATATTTATTTATATCGACACACGCGCGCGCACGCACACACACATTAATGTTACTTCTCAAGTTTGTAAATAAGTATCATAATAGCAATTTTACATAAGAATCAAGACAAACAAAAAATTAAATAACTTTTAAATCAACAAGAGAATTGTGCTCAAATTTTATACAAATATTCCGACATAATGGCAGAAAAATTTTTAATTTGTATATTTTTGGTTTTTTGATGTGACACATCCTTAATTTTAGAAACACAAATATTTTCTTGATATGATTATCGATATCCGAAAAAAATGAACTATTTGTCTTATCAGATATATAAACAGTTGAAATATTAATCAATAAATGACCAAACCTTGTAAAGGTAATCCTCTATTTGTAATTCGAAGTGATGAAGCGAAGTATCGTTTTCTTCCATTGCGTAAGCGTAAGGTCTCGTTGAGAAATCACAGCCACCCATTGGCGTTCTTATGAAATTGTAATTGATACCATGCGGACCAAAGTAGCTTCTAGAATTTGAAAATTGAATGTGAAATTAACTTTTAAGAGAAGTCGCTGCGAATTTTCTAGATATGTTGACTGTGAATTAACAAAATTCTTTTGAAATTAAACGATTTTCATGTAATTCATCATACCTCAACAAGTGCTCGGACACCTCGAGCGTTAAGTCATGAATTTTCATAGCCGCTGAATCAGTTACAGCTCCACCAAATCCATAGATTTCTTGGTATACATTCTTTCGATTTATAGTGATCTTTCCCAATGGAGCTGATTCTACATTACAAGGCATTTGGGATATAATTGTACACAAATTTAATGATTGGATAACACTGAGCTGCTTTAAACCTATTCGGATAGTCTTTTAGGCCGGAATTCATAGTTTGTTCTTATTACAAGATCGTCTTAAATAATATCTTAAGTTGCTAATACGGTTCTCTGATTAGTTCGTGACATCTTAAGACTGTACTTAAGACAGTCTTAAAAATCAACTATGTGAATACCGGCCTTAATGACTTTGATGTTTCAAGAAAACAACTTCAGTACTTACTGTCAATCGTTTTAGACTTTTTGTATATACCGTTCGATACGTGGAAGAACAAACCACTTTTGCTAGATGTTATTAGAAAATATTTAAAGCGATTGGCTGTCCTGTTCACATTTGGAGCTTCGTCGCAGTACGTCATATTGCAAACGCAATAATACCCATCATCTCCTCTTTCGTCTCCAAACTCCGATCGACGTTTGATTCTGCAGCCATTCGTTAATTCAACTAAAAAGAGTCCATCAAAAAGTATACTTGATTAATTGCTTCACCATTACCATTACATTATGTACGCATTTTCTTATTTCTCTGCATTCTATTGTGGCGACTCGCCACTAGAGGTCCACGGGACTCACACGGTTCGCGTAAGCACCGCGCCGCGCGAATTCCCTTTAAATATAGAATATCTCTCTCATTCTAGATTCATTCCAGGCGTCTAAGGCAAGTCCCACACTACATCGCCTTACTGATGAGTCTAGTAGTGTGGGATCAGGACGAAACGCTGCGGTCGACCACAAAGCTTCGAGTCAGGCCTCCTTAATGGACATTTCCACATTGGTGATCCCGACGTGATATAAACACGCACACGCTCACACACGCTTTTGCACACTCTCTTGCACACGCTCACACGCTCTTGTATACGCTCATACACGCTCGCCACACGCTCACACATAGCGGCACCGAGTAGCATCGAGCAGCACACAGAGCAGCATAGATCAGCACAAGCAGCATCAAGCATCACCGCGTTCGTCCCTGATATTTATCATTCCGACATAATCCGTTGGATCGCGCTCTCATTGGGGTGGAGTCCTGTGGTGACTCGCCATTAGAGGTCCACGGGACTCACTCGGTTCGCGTAAGCACCGCGACGCGCGAATTCCCTTTAAATAAAATATCATTCTGGATTCATTCCAGGCGTCTAAGGTAAGTCCCACACTAATCGCCTTACCGATGAGTCTATAGTAGTGTGGGACTAGGACGAAACGCTGCGGCCACAAAGCTTCGAGTCAGGCCTCCTTAGTGGACATTTCCACACTATTATTTTAATAGAACTTCTATGGAAATTAAACAGATGGCTCTACGCCAGTACATAAACATATCTATATAAATATCAATAAATTCTAAAATTATTAAATAAAATAGAAAGTTTTGCCACGTGTTTTTTGTATATCTTATATAATATTTTCAGTTTTGGAAAATAAAGACATTCATATTTAAAAAAAAAGAATTGTGAAAATATAATAAACCAGAATAAAATATATAAAACTATATTTAATTGCAATGATATTTCCTTGATATGAACAATTAATTTTATTATTAAAATATTATAAAAAGTATTATGGCAGTATATTAATATAAAAGTAAATTATTAAAATATGCAGTAGAAATATGCATTGAAATATAAATATAGAAAATTGCAATATAGATGAAACTATATATATATATATATATATATGTAAAGAAATTTTCAATTCATTTTATTCTAACTATATTGAATATGTATGACTATATTGACTATCTTGAATATGTACGACGTGATTGACCATCACTTAATTATCGCAAGAAAATAGAAGTAAAGGTTAAAATATATTTTAATATGTAGTGTATATATAATATATCATTTTTATAACAAAACCTTTTGTGTCTACAAATACCTTTCCTTGAAACCAAATGTTCAAGGGTTTACAAATTAGTGAAATATAATGATATGAAAGAAAATTTCTACCTATTATCTTTAAAATAAGATTAAAAAATGACGTAAAGAAAATATTTCAGGAAAAGATAAAATTTAATATCATCTACATTAAATAAGGATACATTAACAAGTCAGTTTTTTTATGTTACAGCGAAGTTAAGATAATAAAATGTAAGAATTCAAATAAATTATCAGAAGACATAGTAAGATCTCTGGTATCAAGTTATCAATTATTATATTTTTTCACATTTATATATGATATACCATAGTTGATTTCGAGACTTTATACGCTGAAAAAAAGAATTTGATTATAGCCACCAAATGTTGAATGAAATAATTTCAACCAAATATTCAGGTAATATAACAATTTTATTTTTTAAATATTTAATAAATATTATCGTTTTGGTAATATATCGTTTGATAATATTTATTAAACGTTTATATAAAAATAAAATTATATTTAGATATATTGTCTGAACATTTGGTTGAAATTATTTCGTTCAACATTTAGGTATAACCGAACTCTCTTTTTAGGGTATATTTCTTCTCTCTCTTTTTTTTTGCTTTCAGATCTTTTTATTTTTACTTCTACTTTTGTTTTTACATCTACGTTTAATTTCGACTACTTTTATGTAATTTCTTATTATTATTGTATTTTCTCTCTCTTTTTTTTATCCGTCTTATATATCAGCACCTTACATACATTTTGATAGCTAATTCTGATAAGTGTAATTTTATTGCAGATCTGATAATGCCACATAAATGAAATTCATTCATATATTATGTTAGTCTATATTTTACGACAGTATTCTATGATGTAAATTGTAATTATGAAAACAATGTTTCATAAATGATCATATAAAATATTTGTAATAGGGGAAAGAGTTGCTGAATACGTACCATTTCCCTTGTAGAAAAGTACTACTGAGCACTAGGAGTATTTTGAGGCACTACTGTACTACTACACTACTGTAGTAGTACAGAAGTGTTCAGTAATGCCGAGTAATGCTAAAATCTTCTATATATCCGTGTTTCGGCAAGATACAAAATGCAGAAAACGAGAATGCATCACAGAAACTAATTATTAATAACTCTATTTAAAAAAAAAGCACTTTCAGAGACTCTACGACACACTCTAATTAAGCTGAGAGTAAGTGATGGATTTCATTTACATATGCCTATTTATAGGGATTCGCGCCATTTTCTCCTTACGAGTCCATCTTGCGGCGGTACTGCGTATTACACCGCTTGCTTGGCGGCATCTATAGCATACATATGCTCTGCAAGCGGCATAATACGCAATATCGCCGCAAGATGGACTCGTTTTTTGTAAGGAGAAAATGACGCGGATCCCTATAAATAGGCATATGTAAATGAAATTCGTCACTTAATTACTCTCAACTTGATCGGAGTGCTCGTAGAGTCTCTGAAAGCAGTGATGCGAATTCCGGGCCGCTTGCAGCACGGTTATTAGCATGAAGAGGGCATAAGAAGATACGTACACTATGATAAGTTCATATCCGTGAACACTTGCGCATGCGTTATGTGTCCGTCTATGCTCTCTTCGTGCTAGTAACCGTGCTACAAACGGCCCGGAATTCGTATCACTGTCTAAAAGTGCTTTTTTTAAAATAAAATTATTAATAGTTAGTTTCTGTGATGCATACTCATTTCCTGCATTTTGTATCTTGCCGAAACGCGGATATATAGAAGATCTTTAGCACTACTCAGCATTACTAAACACTTCTGCACTACAGTAGTGTAGTAGTACAGTAGTGCCTCAAAATACACCTAATGCTCAGTAGTACTTTTCTACAAGGGATTAACCTATTTTTTATTATATTTCTCATTTAGAACTGATTTGTGTGCAAATGAAGGTTAGAAATTGTACTTTGATATTTCAAGTATCTACTATTATACGTTTTATCTTCTATCAATATCAAATTAATTCACTGGAAGTCTTTTTACAATATGCTGCAAAAAGTCCGATTTAGGCAACCGGTCGTCTAAATCGTACCTGTAAGTATCCCAAATCATACCGTCTTTGAAATTGACGTCATGAATTAAAATAATTAAGAATATAAGATTAATAAAAGGAATAATAAACATATAAGTATTATGCCGTCACAGTCAAAGTGTAAACTTTTGTAAATGTGTACATATACATAATCAATGTAAGATTTATTATAAGGGCTGCATTTCAATATTCACTGCCAGTACTGAAAATCTATACGTTAAGTACACTATAGATTTTTACACTGACAGTGAATATCAGAAAAAAGTACCGGGAATTGGTCAATAAAACACAAAATAGTTATTATTCATTAAAATATATTGTATCGCCTTCAAAGTAGGCCCCTTCCGAAATAATACACTTATGCTAACGAATAATCCAATCATCAAAACATTTTTTAAACGCATTTTCCGAAATCGACTTCAGTTCTCGCCGCGAATTCTCTTTTATGTCTTCTATCGACTAAAAACGATGTCTCGAAGTGGTAATTTGAGTTTTGGAAAGAGAAAAAAGTCAGCCGGAGCCATATCAGGTGAATACGGTGGTTGTTCGATGATATTTGTTGAGTTTTTGGTCAGAAATTGGTTCACAATGATAGTCTTGTGAGATGGTGCGTTATCGTGGTGCAAAATCCATGAGTTTTTTTTCCACAAATCTGGCCTTATTCGACGAATTTGCTCTCTCAAACGCCGCATAACGCCCAGATAATATTCTTTATTTACCGTTTGACGATTTTCAGTCACCATTTCCTTCACTTTATCGATGTTAACTTCAGTTGAAGACGTTGATGGTCCACCAGAGCGAGGCAAATCTTTCACCACATCTCGACCGCTTTTCAATGCACTGTACCACTCATATGCACGTGTTTTTGATAAAGTCGATTCACCGTAAGCCTTCTGTAATATCTTCAGCAATTCGGCACACGAAATTCCATTTGCAATACAAAATTTGAGACAAATTCTTTGTTCGATCTTCTTATCCATTGTAAAAATCGCAAAACACACTTGAGATGAACTGACGAAATCGAGCACTATAAACAAATTAAATGACAGATGGCACTCAAACTCCG